TTGTCTGATTAAGGCCCGGGAGAAACAGGCTGGGAGATGCCAACTTCGAGAAGCAGCTGATCTTAAATGCGAACAAAAAGATTTTACGGTATGTTAAATATTTCCGTGACCTGTTTGGGCTATATCAATTAATTAATCAATCAACTAACCGTTATTTCTAAAACACTTTACACAGGCGACCAAACTGATGTCCAAGATTAAAACCAAATCAATCAATAAATCACATACACCAGCTGTAAATCCAAAATAACAGATTATACAAACATCATGCATAAAATAAATAAAGGGCACTATTGGTAAGATCGTTCCAAAAATTTCTGCCCCTCTAAAATTAAATACCAATTTAAAAAATCACAAAAGGAATTTTTACTCATTTAAAGCTCTAGTCATAGGAAATAGATTGGTCCAACCTTTAGGAGTAACATCAGAAAAAGCTCTTTCACACCAAGTGGCAAGGTGGTTCAGAGTAACCTCCAAGAGTAATTCAGACATCAGACTTCTGCTGGGCATAGGCTTATCTAGAAACTATATTAGCGGTACATTTTATAAATGTAGAATGTGTTGTCACCGGAGATGAGTGTACTGGTGTGCACAGGTTAGCTGCATTGAAATAACAGAACTTCTGTTTTTTACAGCTAGCAAGAAACAACAGATCCAGGAGGAAGACCACCCTGACCAGTGACAGAATCAATCAATCAATCAATCAATCAATCAATCAATACTTTATTAATCCCAGAGGGAAATTAGAGTTTCAGTACACACAATTCAGAGATCAGACATACATGGGCAAGACACATGACAAGAATTGGTGACTGTGGTCATTTAAAACCCGAGTTGCGCTACCTTAATAGAGATAAGAGGGTTACATGAGGATTGGTTCAGGTGGAGGGAAAAAAGGCACTTCAGAGTTACCCTCCCACCAGGAGGACAGCTTTGCTCTGCAAAAAAACACCTCAACAAATATGCAACAAACTTCAGACAACACAACAGAACATGAGACTCCAATAGGAGGGGGGGATCCTATTTCCCCCAGCGAGAGCAGCCATCTACAGCGCTCATCCACTGAACAGGTGGGAGGAAGATCTTGGGAGAAGCGCAGAGCATATTGACTCCTGCAGATTGATGACCTCGCCAGGCTGAAGTCCCCCAATCCGAGGGAGGGGTGGGGTGGGGGGGTGGGGGGGGTGGGGTTTGGGGGGTAGGTCGGGTTTTCACAGCATCTGTCTGCAATCCTTCGAGGAGGTTTGTTGCTCGCCGCTCAAGGCTACCAGGGCGTCAGATTCGGATAACAAGAATTTGTTTGGGTCAGGCTGAGATAATTTTCCTCTCTGCCTTCAGTCTTTAAACTGATGATTTTCAGTCCTTCAGTGAAGCCAATTTTGGGTTTTTAAACCTGTCCATACTGTCCGATGACTCTCTCCGAGATGACATCCATTTTGCGCACTAATACCGGTATCGCAGCTAGAACATTGTCCAGCTTACGATTCACCTCGAGTAACGTCCGAGTCTGAGAAGTCTCCACACGGACGGTGCTTTCCGCGGGTGCGGGTTGCCCTCCAATCCCTCCCGTCTTCCCACATTTTCAGAAAACCAGATATCCTCCCACTCCAATCAGGAGAAATCCAGTGATCATCAGGCAGAATATCCACACGTCTTCCATATCCTCAATGGACAGCTGGGAGAGGCATGTGATCTTCCATTCTTTCCAGGACTCCAGCATATATCCCACCGGGTGTGTGCCCTGTGGACATGTGGGAGCCCCCTGCTCCGTTCTCATTGTTGAAAAAATCTCATCGATCGCATTGAATGACCAATTTATCAAATCCTTGGTTAAAAATAGGGTTTTTCAGAAGAAATGCAGAGATGCGCTCTGTGGGCAGACAGGACAAAGAGCCTTGGGAAAAAAGATACGGGAGCGAAAGAGAGAAGCTTCTGTACTTCTCGAGTGCTTATTCAGATAAGATTTTTTAAGGCTGGACTGAACACAAAGCTGTCATTAGCCCAACACTTTTAGACTATTTTTTTAAAGAATGGTTCTCTTATTTATTTATGTCCATTGCCATGGACTAAGAAAGCCTCCATTAAAGTTATTGGGCTTATTTTTTTTCTTTTCACTTTATTTTTCTATAATAATTTGGGCTGGTTGTTGGACTTTAAGACCCAAATTGTAAAACTTTTTCTTTGAGCAAACAGGTCCGACAACTGATTGACAACAAAAATTTGAATAGTTATAGCTGAATAGTTGTACACTTTTAAAGACATACTCTTGAATAGTTTGTTTGAATGGTTTGCCTTTTTGAACTTCGCACTTGGAGGTACGTAACGTTCCTTGTTCCCTACCACAGAATGTTTAATAATTCCTCATACAAAAAGATTCAAACTGCAAATCTTTCCTCGTGCTTTTGGGAACATGTAGGAGTAAAAGCTGCAGCTGGGTAAGAGTGTGGACTGAATGGGTGGCAACAATTTTAATATACCAGGATTCTGAGGGTAACGTCTCACTACAGCATAGAGGGTGGAAAAAAAGAACTATGAACAGTTCATTTTAGGAACTATGAACTGAGTCAAAAAATATTAGTTATGAACTATGAACGGAACTAGTTCATTTTAAAATGCACTGAACTATGAACTAGTTCACAAATACAGTGAACTTCCCCAACACTGCCCGGCTCTCCGTGGATTATCATCCCTGCGGAAAGGGGATGGAGGTGGCGTAGAGAAAAGAAAAAAAAAAGCGAGACCACAAGGCTGGCGCTTTAGCAAGGCTACGCCATTAGCTGCCAAACCACTGCTACCTGTGTTTTTCCCTCTATGCCAAATCTCTTGTCAACAAGATCGATGAACTGAGGCTACACGTGGCAGCTGGTGGCAGCAAATTGTCATGGTCTGAGGTGAGCTCATCCTCTAATCAGCTTCAGCATTCATTCCAGGTGAGGTGTCTGAACGGGACCAGCTGCAGCCGATTCATCATCAGCCACCGCTGGCTTAAAGGAGGAGGGAGACCACTGCTCAAGGTCGGTTGATGACTCCACACGGGTATCTGCAGTTGGATATTCTCCTGCCACTCAGTCTCTAGGAAACTCTAGTCTAGTTATATTATTGATTACTCTACCTGATGTTTGCTCCTTGTTTTTCTCAGATCTTGCTCAACTTCACACCTTCAGCCATACTCCTGGACCTCTCTTCAGCCTGCATCTTCCTTCCCACAGTCCTGTTCACCACCGCTCATCCACCCTCTCTGGAACACTTATCTCGACCCCACTGGACACTTGGATCCTGCCCCCTCAGACCTAACAGACGTGCCCAGCAGCACAGTAAGACCTCCACTCCTCCTCCACCTTCAAACCACCAGACCTCCTACTAATCCAGACTACTTGCAGGTCCAGTTCTGCCCCTCCCCCTGCATCTCCCAGTTTGGGACGTCTTTAGTTGCGCACACTTTAATAAAACCTTTGTTTAATTCAGCATTTGTCTCTTGTGTTGACTCTGCACGTCCTGGGTCATGCACGTACACCCCAACATGACACAAATAACATCGTAAGGAACAGTTTGTCCCTGCTGATAGCTGAGTCGTAGTCGGACCCAGCTATCCAGTTGACAGGTTACGCTGCGCAGCGCCATGATGAGACCGGCAGCTTCAGAATTCCCTACAGGTGTTGGATTGGGTTCAGATCTGGAGACATACTTGGACATTCAGGCCTAGTCCACATGTAGCCGGGTTCTTTTAAAAACGAATATCCGCCCCTCCAAAAACTTGCATCCACACCATCTCATTTAAAAAAATAACTGTCCACACGTACCCGGATAAATACGTTGTTAAGGACATGCCAGACCTGTAGGCGGCAGTACTTCCCCCGTTCTTAACCTCGTCCTTCGTCTGTGGTCTTCCGCAAGGAGCAGTAATTCCTCTTGCAAAAACAAACAAGCAAAGAGCGCTTGGACAGTTGATAAAGCGAGTGCAGCTCTGAGGGCATCCATGCTGTCGGCTAGTGTAAACACAGGTCGCACACGTGATGTCAGCATTTTTTTGTCGTGGAAAGTGACGCTGCGGACCTTAAAACTCCGGTTTTGTCCGTCCACACGCAGACACCCAAAACGGAGAAAACGCAGATCTTCACTTTGGCCGGAGTTTTTAAAAAGATCCGTTTTCGTGTGAAAAAACTCCGTTTTTGTGTGAATGACAGGCCAAAACGTAGAAAAATATCTACGTTTTGGCAGATCCCCGGCTACGTGTGGACAGGGCCTAAGTCACCTTCACCCTGTTCTTCTTCAGAAATGCAACAGCAGCTTTAAATGTGTGCTTTACATCATTGTCGTGTTGGAAAAGTGCGAGGCACAGAGTGATGGCAGCGTCCTCTTCAGTACATTCTTGAGATCAATTTTCAAAAAAATATTTTTTTCATTTTATTTTTCAAAACATGACAAGGAAAACAAAAACCCAATCTACATTCCTCTGTAAAAAACAGGAGTGCATTTATTCAAATGGTATTCACATCAGTCATGAACAAGAAGATCAGCTAAACTCCCCGACTTAGTTTTTGTGTTGGAAACTCGCTGAAGCAGCGGGATTTTGGACCTTTTGTTTGGCAGATACATTCATGACAAGCAGCATGAAACAAGATTAAAGCACTTTAATACTGATTGTTATTTTATGGGAACAGTAGCACACACAGGTGTCATCAATGTAGAATATGGAGTCAAGAAAATGCAAAGAAGAACATTCTGCTCACGCACTGATGTACCTCCACTTCCTGTCACTGGTCATAAAAAGCTAAAACACACACACACACACACACACACACACACACACACACACTGTGAAAGTGCGGTCTGAGTGACTCTTTAGCGTCTAAACCCTGTTCAGCAGAACTCAGAAACCTCTCAGCTCCATGCGTAGATCTCTAGTGATAACTGAGTTTCCTCCATAAACGTGAAAACTGTTTTAGGAATACCACGTTAACATTACAAAGAAATCCGACACAAATGTACTCTTGCCTTACTTTTATCTGCCAGCGCAGCGTCTCGTCACAGCTCGAGGCAAATCTTGGCCCTTTTCTGTCTCCCACCGACCGGGCTTGTTCAGATGAAAGACTTTCTTTCTGTGCAGCCGTAGTCTGATTACATATTCTCAGAGTTTAACTGACAGAGTTGTTGTGTTGGTTCAGGCGTAGCTCTGAGGCAGTTGTTCTGTAAAAGTTCAAGTTTCATGGTCATTCATGGAGCCGTCAGCTGACTGACAACATCACCCCCTCGTGATGTGGACTGGAGCCCACTCTGTCACAGAGCCCTGATGCCACACAGAGCCTGCTGACATCAACACACATGTTTGAGAGGACATTGGTTTTGCTTTGGTTCAGGGAAACGCGGCAGTGATGGATCAAAGCAACCACTGTTGGCTTTTGATCGTGCTTGAACAACTCTGTCCATACAGACATCACATCAAAGAAAATATTTTCTAGAAATATGGTCAGACAAGCCAAAGTAAGCAACATATGAATAGACTAATGTTCTTGTTTTTATGTTGGTATGAAGTCTAATCACACTGTAGGGTCCGACCCTAATCCTTAATCCCTGAGATAGTAGAGCTCCACGTGGTGACACTGAACTTAGAGCCATTGCACAAACGCACGGGTTGTTTTGGTGAACGTACATGTGTTTACTCGCCATATGCAACCTCTTAAGCATCGTCTCTGAAGTTCCTCTGAAGTTGGGCAGCAGTAGCTCAACAGGTTGAGCGGGTTGTCCAGTAATCGGAAAGTTGCAGGTTCGATCCCGGCTGCGGACAGAGAATTCTGCTGTTGTGTCCTTGGGCAAGACACTTAACCCACCTTGCCTGCTGGTGGTGGTCGGAGGGTCCGGTGGCGCCTGTGCTCGGCAGCCTCGCCTCCGTCAGTGTGCCCCAGGGCAGCTGTGGCTACATTGTAGCTCACCCCCACCAGTGTATGAATGTGTGTGTGAATGGATGAATGATACACTGTAGTGTAAAGCACTTTGGAGTCCTTACTCTGAGAGGTGCTATACAAGTGCGGGTCATTATCATTTATCATTCTCTGGCTGTCAGAGTCCCGTGTTCCCTTCCAGGAGGATGCAGAATAGTTCTGTTCTGTTTCACGCCACAAAGAGGAGGGGTTCGGTTGTCATCATGAGTCCTTTGAACCAGTGGTCACAGCACTAGTGGGCCTCTAGGTTTTAATTTCCAACACTCACTGGAAAAACACGGTAATGACTTCACTTAATCACCATGACGGCATTGGTTGCCGCAGCTCTCCTCCGACTGCTGTTCACTGGCAGCTCTGACTGCCTCCAGACTCCATGTGCTGCTGGTTGGACACTTGAAGGCAAAGCTGCTCTGTGGCCTACGAGGGACCTTCTACCTTCACACCAGTGACTGTAGCAGTAAAACACCTTTGGAAAAGGCGCTCAGGGTCTGATGATTCATTTTCAGAGTCCACTTTCCGGCTCATCAAGTGTTTTCTGAATCCCTGCGGTCCAAAACTACTGGTTGTTCCCACGTGACTGGGCCCTTCACTTGGGTCTCCTGCTGGAAAACACACAGTCAAAGTGTTAAAATGAAAGTACCCTGCAGTTCACTTTGGGTTCTTTTAGACTGATTTTGTAGTTAAAAATGTAAATTCTGTGAAAGCAACTGTTGTTGCAGTTTAGGCTCCTAAACAAAAATACTCCATGGAAAGGTCATGGGCGGCAACAGGTGGTCTGCTTCTGATCACACTTCTGGTTTCATTCTTTAAAAAGTATACACCACTTATTACATGCATCAGAGCAGAGGTGGGGACACGAGTCACGTGACTTGGACTTGAGTCAGACTCAAGCCATTATTTTAATGATTTCTGACTTGACTTGATAAAATCCATCAAGACTTACGACTTGACTCGGGCTTGAACGCCAATGACTCGTGACTTGCTCTGACCAAGGCCTGCTCGCTGTCCCTCGGTCTAGGTGTCGTACCCGTGGGGACCGGGCTTTCTCAGTCCTAGCACCGTTACTCTGGAACCAGTTGCCACCCTCAGTTAGGCTGTCCCCTTCTCTGCCAGTCTTTAAGAGTCACCTAAAAACACACCTCCTCCGCTTGGCGTTTCCAGAACATGTTTGATTTTGGCCCTCTTTTACGTTGAATCCATTCCACAGTTTTCATTGGGACACTCAATCCATCCACTCAATCCAAATGTGTTTCACACATTTGTCCTTTACCAGAATGTTTCATCTATCTTATAATTTCCATTTTGTATTTTGTAATTTGAATTTCTTTTATTGTTGATTTTTTCAATATATTTACTTACAACTGTACCATTTTCAGCGCTTTGGGCTTCCTGACAGGGTTGCGGAAGGCGCTTTATAAATAAAGCTTTGATTGATTGATTGATTGACTTGAATCGACTTGCATCTATTGACTTGATGATGACTTGAACGTGCTTGGTATTTTAGCACAAAAGTGGCACGACATGGACAAAAATCATAAATAATTCTTGGTTCTGGGTTTGATTTACTGCTAAATGCAGCAGCACTTTGTTTATAGCCAGTTTCAGTTGCACTTCCTGCTTGTTTGAGCAAATAAATAAGGCAAGCTTTAAGAAGCTTTGTTTCTGGCTAGCCCGCGGTCATCGGGGCTGCGACCACCAAACTGGAGGAGTGGATAAAGCAGATTCCAGGAAAAACATCAGACATCTCAGTCCAGAAAAGCGTAGTTCTAGGAACAGCCAAGATACCGATGAGAACCCTCAAGCTCCCAGGCCTCTGGTAGAGGACCCAAGCTTGGAAGGATGAGAACACCCGTGGAGGATGAGATGGGAACTTACGTAGGCTCAGCTGTGACGCAGCGCCACGCCTGAAATTCCAGCGCCAAGACTACAAAATCCCACCCCCTTCGCACAAAGACACACAAAAGCAAATCAATTTTGTCCCCCCCCACCATCTCTCACGAGCAACACTAGGAATGGAAAGGGTCTGCGCGATTTCCCGATTGTTGTCTAGCTCTTACCGATGTGTGCTGGGTCACAAAAGGAAAACAAACATTTTAGGTTACTAACATCCCACATCTCCTATCATGCATGCTTACACTTTAAAGATTTCTGTGTAAAATAACAACTACTTCAGTTAAAGTTAGTAACAATAAAAGTGCCGTGTTTATTTTGTCTCCAACAGCAACTGAATCTCCTTTTCGCTTAGTTAGTAATGTAGTTTTTCTTGTTCTGCATGTTGCAGCGATGGCGATAAAACATTTATGAAGACCTTCAGATACGAACAACAAGCCTTGGGTGGAGATTCTTGTTTTTGTTTTGCTCGCTTGTTAGCTGGCTACGTGCTGTGAGGACAGCACATTCACTACACAGGGCAAATTTCTACTTTACAAGTTGTGCCAAAGAAACTTAAATATCTTTAAAACTTGGCCTCAGATGTATCATATATTTACATTTTGAGAGAGAAGAGAATAGCTGGAGTTTGATATATAACACGTGTACGGTATGTAAAAGTTGTCTGAAAACCAATACCAGTATCGGCTGATAATAATGGTAGAACCATAATGTTGGACATCCCTGATATATTTCCAGATAGTAACAGATAATTTCTATCAATAATGTAAACATCAGCAAGGTTTAACTTAGTCTGCTCCCTCAAGTTCAAAAAATGGTCTAAAAGTGTTTTTTTTTAATCCACCCATCGTCCTACTCAACTTTGGGCAAACATTTCCTCCTAGCCTCACATTGTGATCTTGGTCTCATGAAGGTACTGCTAAGGCTTTTATTCTGGAATGTTTTTTTCTAGGGCTTCACAAATATCGAAAAATTATCGTCATCGCGATAACAGGACGTGCGATAGGCCCATCGCAAAGCACGGCAAAAACGGCGATAAATGTTTGGTTCAACATTTCCATCCGTGTCATTCATCAGCTTTTTGTAAACCAGCTCTGTTTTTTACGCGGAAGTATTATTTGACCAATCAAATGTAGCCCTTCTGATATGCAGCCAATCAGATGGGTCCGTTCACGTAATACGCCCGCCCCCTATGTAGACCCTTAGGATGGAAAGCAACACCCTAACTGAGTTAGCGGTGCCGTTCCCTTGTTCGTCATGCTGGCTCAGAGCAACGAACGCACTTTGTGCTGATGTTTCTGGAATCAGCGCTGCTTTCAAACGTGAACGTGAGTCCGCTCGGTGTCGTTAATCATTTTTACCGGGCTGACTCCAACATGTGCCGGTGAACCAACCCACCTTCATCTCGCTAGTGTTAGCCCCAGGCTCCTGTTAGCTTCCAGCTAAAAGGCTACAGTACTCTCCTCCCAGTCCCACCCTGCTAAAGAGGGCCTGGAAAAGTTCCCCCACACATCAAAGTGATTTTTCATTTATGAGCTTTTATAACCTTGTTAATCAGGATAGTTGATTTGCTGCTGCACATAAACTGTCAGTCAGAAGCTCTGCTAGCCGGTAATCTTAAGAGGAGCTAGCTCAATTTGTTAGCTTGTTATCAGAATCATAGTTGCAGTTTCATCATCTGAGCTGCTTTTTAAGATCTAGGTAAACTTGTTCAGTTTGGGGTTAAAAACAAACGTTTTCACATATTTTCCATTTAGTTTTTTGCCAGTTTCTCTTCTGAAAGATAGACAATTGTTTTTCTCTTTCCCTCAGAAAATCTTAATGTTCTCCTAGTTTGGCCCAGCACAGTTCACTTCCCAGTTACAGCAACAACCTTATATCATAACCACATAAGTGGAGAAAATGTTCAGTAGCAATGAGAGAATTTGCTGTTGCACTTAAGTGATGTTAACTATTATTTAACATTTAAACTTATTTTCTAATATTTTCATTTATTCAACAAACCCTGGTAAGGGATTTTTTTCTGTATTTGGAGCATCAGAAAAAGTTTTATGGTGGAGGTGACGTTTTAAAGTCACTGAGAAGCTGCATGCATGCAGTTTGTTGTTTTGCTGCTAATACAGTAGCAGGTGCAGCTGCTAATACAGTAGCAGGTGCAGCTGCTACTGCATTAGCAGGCGCAGCTGCTAATGCAGTAGCAGGTGCAGCAGCTAATACAGTAGCAGGTGCAGCTGCTAATACAGTAGCAGGCGCAGCTGCTAATACAGTAGCAGGTGCAGCTGCTAATGCAGTAGCAGGTGCAGCTGCTAATACAGTAGCAGGCGCAGCTGCTAATGCAGTAGCAGGTGCAGCAGCTAATACAGTAGCAGGTGCAGCTGCTAATACAGTAGCAGGCGCAGCTGCTAATACAGTAGCAGGTGCAGCTGCTAATGCAGTAGCAGGTGCAGCTGCTAATACAGTAGCAGGCGCAGCTGCTAATGCAGTAGCAGGTGCAGCAGCTAATACAGTAGCAGGTGCAGCTGCTAATACAGTAGCAGGCGCAGCTGCTAATGCAGTAGCAGGTGCAGCAGCTAATACAGTAGCAGGTGCAGCTGCTAATACAGTAGCAGGCGCAGCTGCTAATGCAGTAGCAGGTGCAGCAGCTAATACAGTAGCAGCTGCACCTGCTACTGCATTAGCAGGTGCAGCTGCTAATGCAGTAGCAGGTGCAGCAGCTAATACAGTAGCAGGCGCAGCTGCTAATACAGTAGCAGGTGCAGCTGCTAATACAGTAGCAGGTGCGGCTGCTAATACAGTAGCAGGTGCAGCTGCTAATGCAGTAGCAGGTGCAGCAGCTAATACAGTAGCAGGTGCAGCTGCATGTTTTTGCAATAAAAATGTTATGTTGTAATGGAATTCATGCATTAGTTTTTGTTTGCTTTGAACCCAGACCAGACGTCACACGCCGGACGACATCAACACTGCATACTTTAGTATTTGTTCATTTATCGTGAGTAATATCGGTATCGCAATATTAAGCACTGTTATCGAATATCGCAGGTTTTCCTAATATCGTGCAGCCCTAGTTTTTGCCATATTACTTGAAATGGTCTTCAAATACAGGCAGACACCAATAAATTTAATGTTTTGTCAAAATATTTGGGCCCCCCAGCTATATTTTTGGCTCATAACCCATCCATCAAACTGCTCCTCTGACCAGTCACATTGGATGGCCGTAGAGCTGCGAATCATCCTCATGTTTGCCGTTTTTGTCAGAAGTCTGTTCATGATGAGAGATTTATCTGGCCAAAATATGCACAGTGTGGCCTTAGGACGGGGTGTTGAACTCAAATTCCCACTGGGCCAAAAGGAAAAACTGGGACGAAGTTGCGCGCCAAACTCAATATTTTTTTAAAAGTAATGGTAAATTTGCACATTTTCCTTTATCTGCAGATATGAACGGTTGAACCTTTTCATTTGGAAACAAACTTATTTTTGCAGTAATACTGAATGTGGAATAACCAAACCACACACGAGTAAGTCCATTTTAAATAAAGCACACATCAGTGGTATTCATTACTTATTATGTCTCAATGTTTTAAAAATATTTTATTCCTGCATATATAATCTGCATATATACAGCAGATGATGAGCTGCGGGAGGACCTCAGGGCCGCAGAGAACATTCATGTTTTTAATTCCAGGCTCAAGACCCACCTAGGTTAGCTTTT